TTGCTGATACTCCACTATGTGAGTGCAAATTTCTGGGCACTCTAGTGTTCAATCATCTTCCACCTTCGGATCACGAAAGGCACGCAAGCCAATCTACATCCTCAGGTCTAAGAAGATTGAACAGGGGCAACTGTTGTACCCCAAAATTTTCCCTCCCATATTCTTCAAAGTTTTGACAAGCATCATCTCAATTTGCTCAAGTCTACTCAAGGGTTACACAGTTCAAGCATCCTCCTAAGCCAGTCAAAATTAGGGTTTTGGTTCCTGCAAGGAAGTTGAGGTTTTCAAGGGCTCAATCAAGTCCCATATGCTCATATACATTGTCAAGCACCTACATGTCAAGTTTCAAGGCTCACAGGGTCAAGTTGCACAGTCAAAAACCCTAATTGCTTCACAATCAACTATAGGGGCAAAAATGGTCATTTGGCAGTCAAAAGTCAAAAAAATTTGTCAACATATTATTTTGAACCCAAAATCATCATTTGGTCAAATCTTGACCATGATTTCACAAGAATGGCTCAAAAATCATCGAGATGCAAAAGTTTCTATTTTTGGACAGCTGAAAAGTCAACTGTAACTTGACCAAGGCATAACTTTTTCATGGTTCATCAGAAAAATCCCATCCAATGCTCATTTTGAAGGGGAGGACATTTCCTACAACTCATCTTCACATTCCAAGTCCAAGAAATTCTCTCACAAAAAGTTATCAATTTCAACATTATAGGTCATTTTCAAAAGTCAACAAAAAGGCACTTTAAGTCAAAGACCATAACTTGAGATTGGTAAATCAAAATGACATGGGACCAAATGCATTGGTTAGAGGACCTCAAGACCTTTCCAAAGTGTCCAAGAACATGTTCATATGATCAAAATTGAGCAAGATGTGCATTGGAGAAGTTGGGAAATTTTTGTGAAATGGCAAAAGTCAACTATCCTTGAAACTTCAATTTTTGACAAAAGGGCCCACTTTTTTCACTTGGTTCAGCCTTGTCATGCCACCCACGTGTCCCATGATCAATTTCAAGATTAAACATTAATTTTTCTATTTTTATTTAATTTTATTTGATTTAATTCATTTTAAATCCATAAAATTCAAATAAAATCAAAAAAAAATTAATTCAATGATATCTTGTGGTTTGAATGACTTTGATGCATCATAATACACCTACCAAATTCGTGCCAAGCCCATTTTAGGCAGGAAAATTCAAATTTGAACAAACATGGCAAGTTCTTTTAATGGTGGTAAAGAGGAAATCCAAAACATCATTGCATTGGTTAAAGGCTCTTAATATTGACTGATTCTGATTCATACACATATATGCAAGCCTTGCAGACCTTAAGCACGATCTGGAGACCCCTGAAACAGCAAAACCAAATTCAAAAAACTTGAAGAAAAGTCACAAACTGAAATTAATCTTCCAATACAATTCAAACACTTTCTTTGATCCAAACACATTCCCAACACTCCCAAGAACGATTTGCAATCATAAACAAGCCCCAACACCCCAGAAAACGCCCCACACGAACTCACGGTTTGCATATTTGTCTCACAATCATAATTCATTATACATGCATCATTGATGAAATTTTTTGTGTGACTTATATTTCTAACACTCTTCTGAAGCTAATGGTACAAGTCAATTGCGTTATAATGCCCGGAATTGCAAAACACCATTGAAGAAACCTAGGGTTTCAGAGCTTTCAATTTAGGGCTTTTCACATACTGTAAAATTAGAACCTCCAAGACCCATGGTTGAACTCAGAAGGACGAGACAAACACAACCCAACCCTCGCGCCCAATTTATCTTGCACCTACGCCTATTCGCTATTTTTCAATGTTGCAGGTTGTGGGGGTTTAAAACCCCCGCTATCTAACTCTATTTCTTGCTGTTTCAGGGAAGAAGACGGTGACGTGCTTGCACCTGGTTGGTCCGTTCAAAAAAGGCGCGCGCGTTTTATGTTTTCAAACTTAGCATTTTGTTAATCAATATAATAATTCCTCTCTAGTTAAATGACAATTGAAGCGCATAGTTGGATTGGTTAATGGGAACGTACAAAATGCCTTGGGACCTGGGTTCGATTCCCAGGTCCCCCATATAATTGTTCATATTTTTCCTAATATATTCTCATGCAGCGTTTTTCCAGGAGTTCACCGTATGACCTCACAAATCCACACGCCAAGTGTCTCCAAGGGCAGATCCAAAGGCCAGGGATGGCTCCACACCATGTTCCAAGTCAATGAGCATGCACATGATTCCAGAAGTCAACGTGGCTTTGTGCAAATGGGCCTCAGATTCCAATTTTCACCTCCATATTGGGCCCAGACCCCCTCCCTTGGTTTATTCTTTTCCTTTTCCTTTTTATATTTTCTAATTTAGTTATTAATTTTTTTTATATTATTATTATCACCAAAATTAACCAATTAATATTTTTCATAAAAAATCAAAAAAGAACTAATATTATTATTATTATTAATTTCATGTTATTTTTGTAAATAAAATACTAATAAATAAAATAGTTTAATTAGGTCAATTTTAATCCCTTTTTTCTTTACAATAAATAAAAATAATTTAGAATTAGGTTAACCTTTAATTTTATTTCTTTTATTTTATTTTCATTAAAAAAACATAAAAACACAAAAATATTTTTCTTTTAATTAATTAATTAGTTATTAGTTTTAATTTCTTTAATCACAAAAAGGACAAAAAATTCAATTTCTTTTTCAAAAGGGTCAAAACCCTTAGGACATTCCCGATTAATTTTTTATTCGCGCGCATTTATTTATTTTGATTATTTATGTAACTGTTTCCGGATATGTAATAGTAATTAGGATTTTATTGCTTACTTTAATCTTCTGCATTTACTTTTCAAAAACGGGTTTTTGTTTTTGGCGATGTATAGACCCGCGCCTTGTAATAGCGTAGAATTTATATTTCCGCAATTTATTTTCCGCACTCCTAACTGTTAACAATGCATGAAAGAATGTATGTAAATAAAATCAATTCGTAGCTCACAAATAACATACAAGATAAACTTAACAAAAAAACAACACACAAAGCACATGCCACTCCTAGGGTACGCCTCACTGGTTGCCTTGAACGTGGTCATCAAGTACAGGGTGTCTTAGAGGTCGCCCTTTGTCTAAAGATCCAGTTGCCTCGAAACGGTTGCCTCGGATAAAAGGATCTAGGACATTAGGGTTACTTCTAAGGTGTCCTACCATTGCTTCGGTGACCACACATGTCCCTTAATCGAATTGACCCGAATACCTCCAACGATGGTGCTACCTACCTCTCAATGGTGGGATAGCACTATCTAAAGGACTCTTACACAGCCTAATTCCTTAGAGTAGGTAGATTCTCTTAAGTACTTGCTCTTTTCAAAACAAACAAAAATACTTTTCACACTTCACACTTTCTAAAAGTTTTCAAACAAATTTTTCATACACTCTTGAGGACTGATACAAGAGTTACTTAGAAATCTTTCAAACGAAACTTTTTCAAAACCCACACACACTTGAAAAGCAAACAAATTTTGAAAACATAAGAGCAAGTACCTAAGAGCCCGTGGATAACCACAGATAGAAAGGGTGCTAACACCTTCCCTTTCTATAAATCTACCTCCCGAATCGAGAAACATCTCGAATAAGGAATTTTGCTGTGCTTTTGTCCTTTCCATGTTGGAGAACATAAAAGACGGTGGCGACTCTTGCTTACCGCGACATTTCACAAACCAGCTTAAGAAACAGTCAGTTCTATTTCCACCGATCACAACTATCGTCCAATTGATACTCCTATGGATCCCAACGTCAAGCTTCTTATGGGTCAGGGGGAGTTATTGAAAGACCCGGGAAGATATCAATGTCTAGTGGGTAGACTCGATTATATTACCGTCACTAGATCGAATATTACTTTTGCAGTGAGTATTGTGAGCCAATTCCTTGATTCTCCTTGTGATACTCATTCGAATGCAGTTATTCAGATTCTCAATATATAAAGAATGCACCAAGAAAAGGCATATTATATGAAGATAAGGGTGATGCTAAAATCACTTGTTATTCAGATGTAGATTGGGCAGGATCACTGTCGGATAAGAGATCTACTTCTGGATATTGTGTTCTTATTGGGGGAAATATGATATCATTGAGTAGCAAGAAACAAAACACAATTGCACTATCTAGTGCTAAAGCTGAATATCGGGCTATAGCAGCAGCCTCAAAAGAACTTGCATGGCTTAATAATTTGCTCTCAGAACTTAGGTTCAGTTACCTTCAGACTATAAAACTCATATGCGACAATCAAGTGGCACTCCACATTGAGTCCAATCCGATTTTCCATGAACGGACCAAACACATAGAAATAGATTATCAATATGTAAGAGACAATGTACTTTCAGGAGAAATAACCACAAAAGTTTTCAAATCTGAAGATCAATTGGATGATATGTTTATCAAGTCTCTCAAGAGTTCTCGAGTGGATTATATTTGTAACAAGCTCGGGTCATACAATATATACAATCCTGCTTGAAGGGGAGTATTAAGAATATGTTATCAATCAGTATTGATTGATATTCAATTAGTCATAATTGTAATTGATATTATTTCCTATTGTATATTATCTATTTGCATACAAATATACATCATGTGTGATCGTATTCGACACACAGAGATACAATCTCAATCAGTACAACACAAGAATCTTACCGGATTACGTGGCTATTATGTTGAAGGACGGGAAAGGTTAATTATGTATGATTATATACCAAATTCTAACTTATCCTTCCATCTTCATGGACCACAATCAGCAAATTATCTTCATGATTGGAGTCGTCGAATGAATATTGCTATTGGATGTGCTGATGGAATTGTGTGAGTACTACTAACTTCTTTTTTTCGAAATTTGGACTCTCTAAACTTTAGCAGAAAATCTCTCTTTAAATTTGCTTTAGACCTCACTTAATTTAGTTAATTATTAAATTCTAGATTCCTTCACCACTAAGCAATGCCTCGTATCGTCCATATGGATATCAAACCAAGTAGTGTGTTGTTGAATTTGGATTTCCAAGCCTTAATTTCTGGTTTCAGGTTTGCTACGATAATCACTGATGGGGAAACACAAGTGACTAGAGATGTTGTTAAAGGTACCATATGCTACCTCGCACCAGGATTTATGTCCGGTAAAGTAAATGAAAGTTGTGATGTTTATAGCTTTGGTATCCTCCTTCACGAGCTAGCTAGTGGAAGAAAACCAAGTGTAGAGTTTGTGAGAAGTAATTTAGTGAAATTATTTATCCAAGACTAAAGGGAAATCATGTGGAAGAAGAACTTAAAAGAGTTATTGTTGTTGGATTGATGTGTGTGTTGGTGCAAGGTAATGGAAGGAGAGATAAAGAATGAACAATGAATGATAACAAAGAGGACTACTTCTTAATATTCAAATAGAGGAATGAATTTGGGATACAATATTGATAGTCTAGGTAGCATATTTATACTAGAAATTGAAAATGCCAAAAGGCCCTAATAAAGAGTAAGTATTGGGAATTGTGGACATTAAATAAATTACATTTCCAATACCATCCCTTAATTTAGATAATCTATCAGAAGCTAACAACACCAATTTCATCTCTTAAGCAAAGAAATTGATTTGTTTTAACTGCCTTTGTCAGAAGATCTGCAAGTTGTTTCTGAGTGCTACAGTGCAGAACTTCTAACACTCCTTTCTGAACTTGATTTCTGAGAAAGTGATACTTCGTCTCAATGTGCTTGCTTCTTCCATGTAGCACTGGATTCTTGGCAAGATCAATTGTAGACTTATTATCAATCATCAGCTTCAGAGGTTCCTCAACCTCAACCTTTAAATCATGCAGGAGATTCAGAAGCCAAACTGCTTGACAAGCAGCTACAGCACCTGCGATATACTCAGCTTCACATGTTGACAGAGCTACAACAAGCTGTTTCTTGGAACTCCAGGAAATGGGACCTCCCAGAAATTTAAACAAGTATCCAGAGGTACTTCTCCTGTCCACTCTGTCTCCGCACCAGTCAGAATCAGAATAACTTACTAATTCTGACTTTGTCTTTCTTTCAGAAGGAAACAACACTCCATATTTCAGAGTTCCCTTAATATATCTCAGAATTCTGACAGCAGCTTGGAAATGAGACCACTTGGGATTACTCATGAATCTGCTGACCAATCCAACTGCATAACAAATGTCAGGTCTAGTATTACATAAATACCTTAGAGAGCCAACCAGTTGTTTGAAGGTTGTAGAATCAACAGAATCACCATCAGAGTCAGAATCCAATTTTTGATTGGTTTTTGATGGTGTCACATCAACTTTGCAGTTCTGCAGCTTAAATCTCTTCAGAAGTTCTTGTTCATATTTTAACTGGTGCAGAATGATACCCTTCTTCGAGTACATAATCTCCATTCCTAGGAAATATGTCATTTTTCCTAGATTTGTCATCTCGAACTCATTCATCAGAACTTCCTTGAACTTCTTTATATCTTCTGGGCAGCTACCTGTTAGCAAGATGTCATCAACATAGAGACACACCAGAATCATATTGCTATCAGAGTGTTGTACATAAACTCCATATTCCATCTCACACTTCTGAAACCCCTGCTTCTTGAAAAATGAATCAATTTTCAGATTCCAAGCTCTAGGCGCTTGCTTTAGTCCATACAGAGCCTTATTTAACCTGTATACCATCCCTTCCTGATTCTTTTTCACAAATCCAGGAGGTTGTGACACGTAAAGTTCTTCCTGTAATGGACCATTCAGAAATGCTAACTTCACATCCAGGTGCATTAAAGGCCAGTTTCTGTTTGCAGCTAAAGCAATCACCAGTCTGATTGTTTCATGCCTAGCTACAGGTGCAAACACCTCAAAATAATCTAGCCCAGGTTTCTGAAGAAAACCTCTAGCTACTAGTCTAGCTTTGTGCTTGCCAACGGAACCATCTGGCTTAAGTTTCAACTTAAAAACCCATCTGATGCTGATGGCTTTTTTCTTATCTGGAAGTTTAGTCAATTTCCAAGTTTTGTTCCTTTCTATTGCCTTAAGTTCTTCTTTCATGGCATTAAGACATTCTTTCTTCTTGAGAGCTTCTTCAATGCCTACTGGTTCAGAATCTACTAACATGGCACACTTAACGACTTCTCCTTCAGAGTCAACGTCATTATCATGCAGCATGTCAAAATCTGCAAACCTTCTGGGTTTTTGTCTGATTCTCTGTGGTCTTTGAGCTTGTTCTGAAGCTGCACCATAACTACTACTTTCAGAGTTACCACCTTCAGAGTTTTCCCTTCCAGAACTATGATTACCACCAGATTCTGGATCATCATCAGTATCTGGATCATCTTCTTCTAACTCATCTTTAGAATCTTCAGGATCTTTAGAATCAGATTCATCTTCTGATCTTTCTAAAACATCTTCAGAGGATAACTCTGGTGTTGGCACTACACCAGAATCAGATTGAGATTTGTTCCAATCCCATGCTTCAGACTCTTTCACCACAACGTCTCTGCTGACTTCAACTTTATTAGTTTCTGGACAATAAAGCTTATACGCACCTGTACTGTGGTACCCCACCAGCAACATTATTTTGCTTCTATCATCCAGTTTTTGTCTTCTAGCTTCTGGAACGTGTTTGTAACAGACAGAGCCAAACACCTTCAGATGACTGACACTCTGCTTATCTCCAGTCCATTTCTCTAAAGGAACAACTTCCTTCAGTTTCTTCGTTGGACACTTGTTCAGAATGTATGCTGATGTGGCAACAACTTTTCCCCATAGCACGTGAGGTAGCTTTTTCTCTTTCAGCATGCTTCTGGTCATATCAAGCAGAGTTCTGTTTCTTCTTTCAGCAAGACCGTTGTGCTGAGGAGTATATGGAGCAGTAACCTCATGTTCTATTCCACTTTCCTCACAAAACTTCTGAAACACTGTAGAGTTATACTCACCTCCACCATCTGTTCTCAGAATTTTTAACTTCTGACCACTCTGCTTCTCAGCCTTCACCTTGAATTTCTGGAACTCAGTAAACACTTCATGTTTGAACTTGATAAGTGTTACCCATGTCATTCTTGTGAACTCATCCACAAAAGACACAAAGTAATTGTTTCCTCCAAGTGAAGGTACTGGAAATGGTCCACACACATCAGAATGTACTACTCCCAGAGCATGTTTCGCTCTGGGGGCTACTTCTGATGTAAATGGCAATCTAGGTTGCTTACCTTTCATGCATATCTCACATGACTTCTCAGGCTTCACAATTTTCGAAATACCACGTACGAGCTTCTTAGAACATAGATGCCATAAGCTTCTATAGTTTAAGTGCCCTAACCTCTTATGCCACAACTTACTGTTACTTTCAGCACCTTCTGCACTAAGGCACGTTGCTTCAGCTGTTTCTACATTCACCTTGAATGTTTTGTTGCCTCCTTGTTCAGATTTCATAATTAACTTCTGATTGGAATCATACAACGTCAGAAGATTGTTTTTCATAACAACTGAAAAACCTTTCTCAATCAGCTGACCTACACTCATCAGATTGCTTTTAATACCAGGAACATACCAGACGTCTTTGATCAGAATGTCTTTCCCATTCTTCACTCTAATTCTGACATCTCCCATACATTCTGCATTAAGATACTTATCGTCAGCACATCTGATCTTTGTACTCCTTCTGGAGTCAAAGTCTGTTAGCCATTGTTTGTTTCCAGTTAAATGATTTGAGCAGCCAGTGTCCATATACCACCAATCTTCTGAGCATTTTCCATCAGAGTCAGAGGCCATTAGCAGTACAGGTTCATCATCAGAGTTTCTCTTAGCCATATATGCTTCTTCTGATTTCCTATCCCTGTTTGACCTACAATCTCTGGCAAAATGGCCCAATTGTTTACAGGAGTAACATTGAACCTTCCTTTTGCCATACCTCTCTTTTCCTTTATGATACTTCTTATCATCAGAAGTTGAGGCTTCTGACTTATGGAATCTATCACCATGTTTATTCTGCTTCTGGTCTTTCTTGACAAAAGATGTTAGAACAAAGTTTGAATCTACTACCCTATATTTAAGTTTTGATGATAACAAAGTGAAAAGATACATTATTTATATGATTCATGTATGAACTATCTGCTGCCTAAATTATTAAGTTCTGATTTGCAAATACTCTGATTGATATAAGCAAGATCACATCTAATCAGCATCAGAAATTTGGTTTCTGACATCAGCATCAGAAGTTGCCATACCAGAATATCAGAATCAGATGATCAACTCACGTATATGCTGAAGACTGATGAACAAGACTGCGCTCAATACTCTGATAAAGAAACACAACAGTTCATCAGCAGCTAAGCAGAGTCAGAATGAGCCAAGCCAGAACTTGCATTAAGTAAGCAACGGTATTGTGCATTGAAAGCAAATTAATACCAACGGCCTCATTCCAGACAAGATCTGCTCGATAAGGAAAGTTTGTTATTAGCATTGAATCAAGAATATTGCTCCAACGTTCATCATCTCAGTGCTATATAAACAAGACTTTGAAGATTGAATTGGCTAATGCTCTCCAAATCTTTACACGCATAAAAGCTGATCAAAATCTTCCTTCTCTCAGTTTTGCTAAACACTACACATTCTGATATTCTATCATTGTTTAGCAATCTAGTTTCTAAGCTTTAAGTTGTGTATACATCACAGTTGTGATACAGTTTTGTAGAAAACATTCACACACTTAGATTTATCTTCTTTGTAAGAAAGTGTTTCCTTGACAAACCGGGTTGTGGTTTGCATCAAGAAGGCTTTAGCAGTTGTTAAAGCAGTCTATAATATTCAGTTGAATATAGTGGATTAAGACCTCGTTGGAGAGAGGCGAAATCACCTTGACGGGTGGACTGGAGTAGTTTGAGATCAAACGAACCAGGATAAAAATATCTTGTTCATTGCATTAGATTTCAGTTTTACAATTCAACCCCCCCTTCTTGTGTTTTTCACTACTTCAATTGGCATCAGAGCGCTTGGTTCTGAGCTAAAACACTTAATCGTGTCAGTACAAGATCCAGCATCAGAAAAACACAATGGCAAGAAACAATTCTCACATCAGCAATGACAACAATGAGGACAGAGACAGATTCAGCGGCAAACCTCCAGTCTTTGATGGAGAAAACTTTGATTACTGGAAAGACAGAATTGAAAGCTTCTTTCTGGCACATGATGCTGATCTGTGGGATATGGTGACAGATGGATACACGCACCCTGTGAATGCAAGCGGTTAGAAGATTGATAGAAAAACAATGTC